CACAGTATTTTCACTGCCCTAAAACTCTTCCATGCTCTACCTACTTCTCCCTTCCACACCCACCGCTACCTCTGGGTGGTGAGATTTTTAGAGTTTAAGGACCCCAAACACCCTGTTCCTTGGGGGATATGACATGATTTTATAATCTGCCTCATAGACGCTTCCCTCATAGCTCAGTCAGTAAAGAATCTGCCTGCAAGGCAGAAGACCCAGGTTCGATTCCTGGGTCGGGAAAATCCCCTGGAGAAGGAAATGGCATTCCTCTCCAGTATTCTTGCCTAGAAAATCCCATGGACAGAGGAGCCTGGCGGACTACAGTCCATGGGGTCGCAAAGACTCAGACACGACTTAGTGACTAAAACACCACCACCACCATAGATGCTATAGGTGATCACAGTAATTAACTCAGAGAGACCACCATGAGCCACAGACCACTGGGGCCATGGGCATTAGAGCCTTGGGGATCTCTAATCAGAAACTCTTAGACTTCCTAAGTCAGGCAGAGAAAGAGAAATATCATATGACGTCCCTTATATGCGGAATCTAAAAAAAAAATGATACAAATGAACTTACTAATAAAACTGAAAAAGACTCACAGACTTAGAAAATAGATTTATGGTTGTGGGGGGCAGGGGAAAAGGATGGAAGGAAGGGATAGTTAGGGAGTTTGGGATGGACGTGTACAGACTGCTTTATTTAAAGCAAAGAACCAACAAGATCCCACTGTACAGCACAGGGAACTCTGCTCAATGTTATGTGGCAGTCTGGGTGGGAAGGGAGTTTGGGGGAGGATGGAAACATGTATGTGTATGTATGGTTGAGTCCCTCCTCTGTTCATCTGAAACTATCACAACATTATTTGTGAATTGGTTATACTCCAAAACAAAATTTTAAAGTTTTAAAAAGGACAACAGCAACAAAAAGAAACTCGTAGACGGCCCACTCAGGCTAAGGAAATCTCAAATTCTGGTGTGGAAAAGAAGGGGGAAAAGGAAAGGAAAGCCCCAAGCTGCAGAAAAGGTCTGTGACTGGCAGTTTATAGACGGAACAAAGGAGTGTTTTTATCCCAATCAGTGGGTGCCACAATGTTAGCATGCTTTAAAGATAATGACATATATTTGATGGTTAATCACTGAAGAGTGAACATTTGGGGTATTATTTCAGATGTTTGGATTTCTTCCCTGTTTCAGAAAAAAAAAAAAAAACACCCTGCTATATTTCAAAGGAAATGTTAGTTCTAATTTTTTACACTTCAGATGTTTGGAAATTTCAAATGACTGTTCCAAATCTGATCACTAAATATTTCTTTTGTTGCATAGAAACTGACTTTTAAGTCACTGTATTTACTAAAAAGCAAAGGGAAAAACTGGTCCTCTCCAGCCCCTTTTCTCTGGGCTCCCAGGATCAGTATGCTTTGTATTTAATTGCACACAATCCAGACATTCTCTATATACAGTTCTCATCCTCACAGCACCTTCCACTCAGCAAGCTCAGAGCTTCCAGCCTCTCCTATTTTAAAATCCATGTAGCAAACCTCAGCATTTAAAAAAAATTTTTATATTTAAGAACTTTATAGCACTTTGATTTTTTTTTCTGTCTTGTATTTTTAAGCACAATATATTGTGCTTCATTTACAGTTGTATGAAAACTATATTCCTTTAATTATAGTTATGAAAAATATATCAGTCTACTATGACACAATATGACACCATTGAGAGGAGTCCTGCTCAGTTCTGAAGTTAGATCAGTACATCCACAGAATGTTTTCCATCTCTAGAGGCCCTCCATGCCCAAATGCCATCTATTTTCTGCCCTTCATCCCACCCACCACTTTGAGTTGGGTATTCTCTCAGAGGATTCTCTCTGTACTCTCTGTAGAGAATACTCTGAGTCTTCTCTGAGTAATATTTTTCCTGCTTCTTTATTCCTTCTTTTATTCTCTTACTGTAACAATATCAAAGACAATATCATAACCAAAGAGATATTATGTCAGTCGGGATAACTGATGCTAGCTACTGTAAGAAACAAATAGCAACTTTCAGTAACATACTTTATTTCTTGTTTTGCAAAATCTAATATACCTCCCCTCCAAACAATGACTCAGGAGTCCCAGTTCCTTCTCTCCTGTGGTTGCATACTTCAGACCCTGGGAACCCTTCATTTTTAGCAGAGTGGCCTGGGAAAAAGAGAGAGAGAGTGGAAATCTACTTGAAATATATCATGATCAGCACTAGAAGTTCATTGGCCAGAGCTCTGTCACATGACTGATACAAGAGGGGCCAGGAAATACGTTGAACTGGAGCACTATGAAGGAGCACATGTAGGTAAGCACCAAGAGCCTGTACCACACAGAGAGCCTCTCCATTTTTCCTGTGTACGTAACATCTTAGGTGACCAACCCTTATTTCAGGCATGTGCTTTATGTACACCCTCCTCTTACCATCCCAGCCGCCGTGTTGCCCTCTCTGTCTTCACTCTCTGGCACTATCATTTTGACTCACCCAGAGCTTTTCTTTGCACAGTCCTAGTAAGTTGCTCCCTGCCAATCCTTCCCACTGTATTTCAAGTTCCAGGGAATAATCAAACATTTTCAAAGCTGATCTCCTTGCTTCAGTTGTGTTGATCCCTTCAATGTTTGCAAGCAATGAAAAAAAATAAGGGAGAAATAAGCCAATAGAATCACCAGCCACCTTAGGAAACTATTAATACTAAGAGTAAGAAGCAATAAAAATGGCTATGATGAAAATTCTAGAGAAAAGAGGAGCTGAAATAAGAACTTACAAATTTTTATAAAAGACGCACACAACAGTGCTTGATACTCTGATACAAGTTTACACTCTTTCAAAATCCCCTGAGATGAGAAGGTAAATCTTTAGTGCTGGAATAGAATGCCTGGAGGTAGAAACTAGTTATGAAACACAAGTGCTCCAAAGAGCAAGCTGCATGAGGAAACATCTTGCAATTTTCAGACCTGAGGTCAGCGACCCAAAGATGAGTTGAAATATTCTGAAAAACAATCTCTTACAGCAGACGTCACTACGAAACCAGATATTTTTCTTCACCGGAAACAAAAGGAATAAAAAAAAAAAAAACATAATGAAAAGACCTCACAGCAATTCTGGAATTCAAAACCATCCAAACACTGACGGGAAAATAAATAGAGGGCAATACTGTGGGATTTCTTAGCCTTTGCCTGTAGCCATCAAATTAATCATAAAGTTAAAAAGTTCCTACTTAAAAAAAAAAAAGTTCCTACTTGACTTAATTATAATAATGTTACCTTTTCTTTCTAAAGCATGTTACACTTTTTCAAACTTAGCTTAGGTTTATCTTATTAATTTCTTCATCTGTATCTCTTCAATGACTTATGGGAGTATAACAATTCTTCTGATTTATTGACTTTCTGTTGGTGCTGAAGAAGACTCTTGAGAGTCCCTTGGACAGCAAGGACATCAACCCAGTCAATCCTAAAGGAAATCAACCTGGAATAGTCATTGGTAGGACTGACGCTGAAGCTGAAGCTCCAATACTTTGACCACCTGACGTGAATAGCTGACTCATTGCAAAAGACCCTGATCCTGGGAAAGATTGAGGGCAGTAGGAGAAGAGGGTGACAGAGGATAAGATGGTTGGATAGCATCACCTACTCAATGAACATGAGTTTGAGCAAATTCCAGGAGATAGTGAAGGGCAAGGAAGCCTGGCAAGCTGCAGTCCTTGGATTCACAGAGATGGACACAATTTAGCAGCTAAGCAACAACTACAAATTGTTGCTGTTGAAACTTTTTTTTAATCTAAATTATTCTAAAGCTTTACACCAAGTCACACTTTTCTTGGTTGAATGGGACAACAGTAGGTATAATTACAAGTAAAGAAACAACTTAGATCAAAATAAAAAAAATTTCCCTGGCTCTTTTACTTACAGGAAATCATAGATTATTCTTTTCCAAAGGGTAAAAAAAATATCTTGTGTGAGTAATAAGACAAATTTTTACACAAATAACCAATAACATGAGCTAGACAGATGTTGTTTATAAATTCTTTCGCTTATGCCATTTCTCTGGAAAGTTATTCAATTTAGGAAAAAGAAAATCGTTTCAAGTGCAGGAGAATAGATGCTTTGCTATTAAAACCTTATTATCATAGCAATAGACAAAGTTTGAATCATTTTTAATGTTAGTATATCTAAATTATAAAATCATGAACATGAATAGTGTGACAGGTCCTTTTGGTTGCAGGAAGATTCACGTGTAACCAGCTTCCATGATATGAGGAAATTGACAATTTATTACAAAATTACAGGTCATGGTATGGAGCTGTCTTCTCTACTTCTCTCTCTCCCTTCAGGCGCAATTTCTGTGCTTTGCAGGTAGATATGGAAGAAAATGTGGCTGACAACATGTACCAACCTATCCTCCATTTAAGAGAATACTTCAACCCAGGCCCAGTTCTTAATTCTTACAAATGAATCTCAGGTTGTTCTAGTTTGAATCAAGGTTGAACCTCTGATTCAATCAACTTTGGTAGGGGCTGGGTCATTTCATACAAATGGAGATTAAAGGTCCACTGCTGGTACAGTTCAAGGAAAACACAATATATGGTAATAAACAACGGCAAGAACACTGTAAGTATTAAAGCCTGGAAAAGTAAGCTTGTAAGTGAAAGTTGCTCCGCCATGTCCGACTCTTTGCAACCCCATGGACTATAGCCCACCAGGTTCTTCTGTCCATGAGATTTCCCAGGAAAGAACACTGGAGTGGGTTGCCATTTCCTTCTCCAGGGGATTTTCCCAACCCTGGGATCAAACCTGCATCTCCTGCCTTTCAGGCAGATTCAGGCCAAGTTTCCTGAATCTGCATTTCAGGCAGATTCAGGCTAAATCACCAGGGAAGCCCCTTCAGTTATATTATCAACTGAAGCATGATGAATTACACAAACAAAACTTAGCATCTTGAAACAACACATATTTATTATCTCACACAATTTCTGTCAGCAATCTGGGAACAGCTTAGCTAGGAGCTTCTGGCTCAAGAGATCTCAAGGGGTTGCAGTCAAGCTGTCAGCCAGAGCTGCAACTTGGTGAGGAGTCGTCTGCTGAGCTGACCACAATTAGAGGCTCCACTTCCAAAATGGCTTCCTCAGATGATGCTGGCAGAGGCCTCAGTTCACCAGAATGTGGGCTTCACGGGGCTGCCCGAGCGTCCCGACCCATTTCAGCTGTCCTCCCTAGAGTGAAAGATGGGCACTCATGAGGGGGAGAGAGCACCACGGGGCCTTTTTCTGACTTTCATCTCCACAACTTCTGCTTTATACTGTTGGTTAGAAGCAATTTATTAAATCCATCCTCAAGGAGAGGGAAATTAGGCTCCACCTCACAAAGGAAATGAAACCCTGTAACTCAGATTGGGCTCTGAACCCACCGCAGACTTTTAACTGAGATCACACCTGGTCTCAGGACCTAACAAGGTTCAGGTTCATGATTGTCTCATCACAGAAAGAATTCAATGACAAAGTGGTAGGTAAGAAGTGGATTTATTTAGAGAAAAACACACTCCACAGACTGAGTGTGGGCCAGCTGAAGCCCCAGGGTACAGGGTTGTCAGTTTTTATAGGGATTGGTAGTATCGTAAGCTAGTGAGTGGGAGTATTCCAGCTATTTGGGGGAAGGGGTAGGGATTTCCAGGAATTGGGCCACTGCCCCCGTTTTTACCTTTCTGTCGGTCTTGGAACTGTCATGGTGCCTGTGGGTGTGTCATTTAGCTTACCGATGTGTTACAGTGGTGCCCATGTGGCTCAGATGGTCAAGAATCTGTTGCAATGCAAGAGACTGAGGTTTGAAACCTGCCAGGAAAATTTCCTGGAGAATGGAACGCTACCCACTCCAGTTTTCTTGCCTGGAGAATGCCATGGCCAATTACAATTCATGGGGTTGCGGAGAGTCAGACACAACTGAGCAGTTAAGATTGGTGTGTTACAATGAGGGTATACAGAGGCTCAGAGTCAGGTGCAAGTCAACTCGCCTGCCATCTTGGACCCATTTGGTTCTAATCAGTTTATATTGTATCCAACAACTTTGTCATTCTGTTAAAAGTCATGGCCTGCCCCCTTCCCTCCTGTTTCAGAAGGACTATCATAGAGCATTGTGAACGTGTTTTTAAAGCTGCCACTGATTTTTCAATGACATCTTCTGAGTTAACCTTTGAGCCAGTACTCAACTTTTATTTTTTGATTGATTGCATTGTACAATTCACCAAAGTGAGGTGGAGGTGGTGTTATGATTTGCAATAAGAAATATGTTTTGGGTCTTCATCCCGTTTCTAGCACAGAGTTCCTTGAGTGGTAAGAGTGACAAAGGTGTTTTCTGTTAAGTTAATTGGGAGACGAGCCCCCCCTCCCCCACCTAAGGCAGGGAAGGGAGGGAGCCTACAGGTTGAGTCACTCACTAATGCCCAATGACTTAGTCAATCTTGCCTTGTAATTAAGCCTCCTTAAAAAACCCAGAGGAGAAGATTCACAGAGCTCCCAGGTTGTTGAACACAAGGCGAGTCAGGGAGAGTATATAGAAGCTCTGCTCCCTTTCCCAGGCCTTGCACTGTGAGTCTCCCCCTTCGGCTGTTCCTGAGTTATATTCTTTCACAGTAAGCCTGTGATCCAGTAAGTAAAATGTTTCTCTGCATTCTGTAAGCCACTCTAGCAAGTTTTTTTACCCAAGGAAATAGGGGATCACTGGAACCTCCAGTTGGTAGCCAACTGGTCTGAACCACAGGTGATAGCCTGGCTTTGCTATAGTGTCTCAGTGGAGCCTAGGTTGGGTGGGGTGGGACACAGTCTTGTGGGACTGTCTGTGTGGAATATGGTACTATCTCTGGGTAAATAAAATATCAAAATTGAGTTGATTTGTAGGACACTCTGCTCATATCCCTAGAGAATTGGTGGTGGCAAGGTGCAACCCCCCCATGCCCATTATAAATTGAGTTCTCAGAACACGAAAAGGAGTAAACCAAGATCATAGCTCAAAATACTTGCTTCCGTTTCAACTTTCTAGAGAAGTTGTTTAGTTTCTATGTATGCTATTTAATCAAATGTATTGATTACTTATACACTTTGTAATAATACAGTTATCCTTTCCTTTTAAATTCATTATTGAGCTCAGACTCTATCCCAGAACAATCAAATCAGAGTCTCTTAGAGAAGGGCTTGGTATTGGCAGTTTTGTATAATTCCTCTGGTGATTCTAATATACAGGTAACAACGAGAACCACTCAGCCCAACAGAAATTTTGGAAGTCTTTTTCAGCCCCTATTTTGCATGATTATTCCCTTCCATAATGATCTTCTGACCTGATAGCAGGTCCCTCACACAAGACCTATGGAAGAGTATGCATGTAGTACCAAAGGAGGTTCAAGAGACGGTACAGGGCAAGATAATAGGTATTTCACCATTTCCTGGCAGATGGTGTGTCTTCAGCTATTTAGATATATGAAAAACATATTCCCAATTGGTAACTCTTTCTTTGGTTGAAAGGATGCATGGAATACCACTTTCATCTGCTTCTATTGCTAGATTGTAACTAAGATTATAACTAAATGCACAGAATTTCCCTCCACTGGGGTAGGAACAGGATTAAAGAGACCAGAGAGGATCCACTCAGAGATCCATCCTAAGGGAGGATCTGGTATGCTTAGAATACATTTCTTGGGGTTTTCTGGCTCAACATATAATTGCCTGCTTCATATGAAGACTGCACCTGAGGGTAAAGATAGAGGCATCAGCTTCCTTCTTCCGTGTTTCTATATGCAGATTACAAAGTCATTTCTCTTTGACTGGCTACAGACCTCTCTCCTCTGGGTGGAGCTGAGCTCCCTGAAAGCAGGGTTATTCTGAAAACACCACACCTATAATTGAAAAGGATTTGTTAAGGCCTTTTGTGATCTATCTTTTTTCTGTGGCCTCTTACACCATCCAAAATCAAACCAGCTGAATCCAGAACCCAGGTGGCAGCTGTTCAGGCTTGGCACCCCAAAGCCCTTGGGATTCAGGGCGTGACTCTTCAGTAAGATCAGACGTAACCCATGAGGCATCTCTGGCTACTTTCTAATTATTTCCATTGCAAAAGGCCCTGACTTATTCGATGAATCATGTCATTTTTATTGAAAAGTAAACCAAGGGTGATAGAAGACCTATGGCCACACACACAAGAACCATAGGTTCATAATTGGGATCCAGAAGAAGAAAATCTGTACATACTCANACCCCCATCCCTGTCCTCAGAAGAAGTCTGCTCACTCACCTAACTGCTGAAACAAGCTTGCTGAGGAGGGTAAAGTGAAGACAAGAGCCTGCAACAACATCTGCCCCACCTCCCACCCATTTACTCAGCAGGAGGCTAAACATCACCTCTACTGGTATAGCTGCAGTTTAGCTCTCAACACTGGGGACCAAGCATCCCAAGGTATCTGGGAGACTCAGTCTTGTAAAATTTGAACCATAATGTCTTCCATTTGTATAACCTCTTTACAAGGAATATTCTCACATGTCATCTCATATAATCACTTACATATTTTATTCATTGAAGTGTATGAAGTTTGAGATTAAAGTAAGGATGCTATTCCCTCAAAATAGCTTGAGACTTTGATTTTTAAACAAATCCTATCTTTATGGTCCATGTTAATAGTTTTCTGATGCAGGTTCATGAAACACAGACAGGACTTGGTGGCACAAACTAGAACTCTCTCTGAAGACATCTCTGTAAAGAGCTATGGGTAGTTCCTGCATATATGCAAGTCAGCAGTATTCCACTGAAATATTGGACTCCAGTGGCTGGGTGTGAGGCCTCTCCCTGTAGCCTTGCAGAAGTCTCTACTGATTTTCTAGATAGCTCATGAATGGGAGAGATCCTCAAGTTACAAGGACTTGGAAAGACTTTTTATGGGAAACTGGATTTAGAGAATTAACCAAGGGTTTAATTAATCTTCACAGTCGGCTTGTGACCTTTCAGTATACTGATGTCACAGGGATCTGTGAAGGGCATTGGTATGAGATTAATACACTCCCCTTAATCCTTACTTCAAGGGGCCTGCTGCTTAGTTTTCTGTTCCCAGCAGCCCTGAGCTTCTGCTAGCAATCCCAGCCCTTCCCAGAGGTCGTTTAGAAGTGTTTTATCAATGAAAGAACAAAATGCTAATTCCTACTGGGTCTCTGGAATTTCCAGATCCACACAAAATTATCATTATATATATAATAAGCTTGGGAAGCTCCCACAACTCCTAGAAGCAACACTCATTTGGAAAGGTAAAGTGGTTTGTTTCCAGCCCAAGGAGATAGTTCAGTCAGAGTTCTGCTAATCAGGCAAATAAGTAAACATGGTAAATGTATAATAATATAAGTAATATAAAACATTTACTTTTATAGAGTGAATGTAAAATTTATCATTTAAAGCGAGACACTTCAGGGACTTCCCTGGTGGTCCAGTGGCTAAGACTCCATGTTCCCATTGCAGAGAGCCTGGCTTCAATCCCTGGTCAGAGAACTGCAGGTTCACATGCCACAAGGAAGACCCAGCACAGACAAATAAGTTTTAAAAGTAAACAAATAAAAATAAATATTAAAAATAAATAAAGGACGACACTTAAGATCAAGAGGGACTGCTACTAACAATCACAGCAGGACAACACACATAAACCTGGAATGTCCTGGGCAAAACAGGACATGTGGTCAACCCCACCATCAGTGACTATTTAAAACAGCTTTTCTCTGTTTCTCATAATGTTTTTATTACATTACAGCGTGGCAAGGATCTTCACTTTCTTTTTTATACTGAGAAGTGGATTTGTTCTACTTTCCTGAAAAATAATCTTATATTCTAAGTCTCAGCTAATCTGTTCTGAACTTCATTGTATAATCTACTTCCCTGAAACTGAGCTGTAGGTTTCCCACATATCTAAGTTTCTGTGAACCCTTCAGAAGATTATTTTAAAGTACCTACAGTCCTTCCCATGATTTCAACAATTTTTCAAAGACTTTTAGTTTTATTTTGAACAACTTCAAAATTTATTTTGGAAGTGTCAGTTTTTCCCTAAAATTCTCCAGGTTTTAGTAGAGCAGTGGACTCACCTTTGGGAAGAACTTTGAGTACCTGACTAAATCAGCAATTTACTGGTCAATATCAAATGATATAGACTAATTGTCCAGCCCCTACCCCATCAGTCACTTGCCTGCCTAATTTA